TTTTATTATTAATTTATTAAATTTTATAAATTATTATTTATTATAATAAAAATTCGATTATTTTAAATGAAATTTTTCTTTATGAAGTTTTAAAAAGTCATAAATAAACACGTTTAAAAATAAGAATTAATTCATAGGGCAACAGTAATGGGAAAATAATGTTAATTTAATATATTTAAAAACAGGAATTAATGAAAAAATTTAATTAATATTTTTAGAGTCAAAATAATGTTAAAGAATACATGATATCATCTGATAGGAAGTTTATTCTTTTTGCTAAAGAAATTCAAAAGGTGAGAGATATTTTTAAATGACTTTTAAGGTTTTATTTTATGAAAATATATATAAATTAGTATTTCTCTCTAAACTTATATATTATAAAGTTAATTAAAGCGATTACATTTACGTAAATAACATAAAAGTAATAAAATCGATTATGTTAAATTCTAAAAATAATTTTTAATTAAATGTAATCAAAATTTTCTCTAAGATAATATTGATTTTTCTGCAAAAATGTTTCGTTGTTTTGAATAAAATAACAAATTCTATAAAGAATAATTAATATTTTTAAATTAGCTGATTTTACTTAAAAATAATATTTTAAAATGAACTGTTTTAAATTTTACAGTCGATTTTTAACTATATAAAGTGAAATAGTTTCATATACTTTAAAATCTACTGTTTTTCTTTATAGAACAATACTTTAAAATTTATTTGAAAAATAAAATAGAAAAAAAATCTCAAATTTCCAAAAGCTTATTTTGACATAATGAAGCTTTTTATATGAGTTATTAAGCATTATTTTTAGTTAATTGCCTTGTAAAATAGTCAAAAGAAAGAAAAACGTAAAAATTAAAGTGTATTTAGTGCATAAATAACTATAAAAACAGATTACTTTACAGATTATTTAACAGATAATTGTGCAAAAAACTATTGATTATACAATTTAGAATCATTCTAAAAGGTGATTTAAGTATCCCATTTTTTTTTTTTTTAACTAATCGAATTTTGAGATTATTGTTAATAAAATCTATATAAAAAATATGAAATTCTGTTTTTTTTTCTACTATTTTTTTTTTTTTTGAAGAATAACTAATTGACTTTAGTGATAAATTTTGTCGTAGAAAATCTGTAAGAAAGTAATATAATGAAATATCGGACCCGAACCCATGTCTTTATTTAAATTTAGTTATTTCGTCATAAATTTCTTTATCAAATTCCAAAACAAGATAAATACTTTTATATTAAAAACGGAGAGGATCGGATTTCGTTTCTTTTAGTAATACAGTAGACTATTAAAAAATTTAATTTTCTTCTATACTTAGGGGAGATCGGGGCAAGATCGGCATGTTAAGCTTTACTTAAATTTTGTGTAATAAATACTGCTGTAAACTGAAAAAAAAGCTTTGCATATTGTCTATTGGAATGTTACCTTACTATAGNTACGAACTGAATTCAAAAAACTTTTCTAGAATGTTTATTTTAAATTATTTATTCAGAACTAAGTTTTGTAGGTTTTTTGTAAACCTATAAAAATGAAAAATTGAAGTTTTCTGCTTGAAATCGATAGGGAATAGTGTAATATGTATACTAGAGTCATTAGAGTAAGGACTGCAGTAACGATCGTTGCACGAGTATTTGTCAAAGGTTTAGATTAAAGTTTTGTTTAGTATCATTTATAAAATAGTCTGTTGAATTATATTTTTATATATTCTAGAATATATAAAGGAAAAACTAAAAATAAACTTAAAATACATCTGTGTATGTATGTATATAGGCCTATATATTATATAAAACATATATAAATATATTTTATATGACAATAATGCTAGTTAATTAGTTTAAATAAATGGATGATGCTAATATAAAAGGTGTTAGAGTTTAAAAAATATAACACCTTAATTATACGATCTTTTACGAAAAAAAGGTAATATAATTTAATTATTACAATTTTAAAAGATAATTACACATATTATTTTATTCTGTCATTTAAAATCTTAAAATTATAATTACCATTTTGGTATCTAGAATTAGACATCAAAATGTCAAATGCAAGATATTATCTAATTTAGTTTTCGTTGCTACTGTTTATATAAATCACATTATAAACCTTTGATGAGATGGTGTTGTGTGACAAAATCGATTACTAAATTTGATTTGTAACAGGAGAATTTGACATCTTGACAGCAAACATGTAAGAAGATCAATTTATAAACAGTTAAATTGCCATTTAGATCTGTGGTTGCAAAATATAGTCTATTCCAAAGGGTATTTTACAATAGCTGGAGAGATTCGGCTTTCTTACAATACATAAAAGCAGATCAATTTTTTAAGTTTAGAATCCCATTATTATAGACTACATAGTGACAACAATCATTCATTCGTGTCGTTAGCAACGAAGTACAAGGTATATTGGAAGGAACTAAACACATTTCATTTTGTCAGTACTTTACACGACTGTATTATTTAGATTATCAAGCGAATACTTTTCACATGTTTTTAAAGATAAGTTTCTTTAAAATTTCGCTTTTTACAATTAAATATTGCAGAAATTTAATTTTACACCGCAATTAATTTGAAATACAAATCAAAGTTAATGACGAATTTTACATTTATTAAAGATTCACTGTGATAACAGCTTATTAAATGAACACAATCATTAAACATTACATTATTAAACGCTGATATACAAGTAACCGAAATATTTATATACATCTTTGTATTTTCGTTTAATAATAAAAAACAGAAAGAAATGTTATGATCAAAATTGTTTTTTAAGTAAAATTTTCTATAAGCTTCTTATAATTTTATGTTTCTTATAAATATAAAATTATAGGAAAATTATAAAATTATAAATCTATATTATTGATGGATTATGTTGAATATTGTTTATATAAATGAAGAGATATTTGCCATTATATCCGAATTCACAACCAAAGATTGAGTTTAAGTTAAAAGTTGACCAATAAGCGTTTACGTCCTAAATGTAAAGTGAACGGTAATTGGTTAACTTAACTCTTGATTTTCCGTTGTGAATACGACCGTAAAAGATACAAAGAGTGAGAATTAATTTAATTTGCATCGAATTTTACAATTACAAAATATTTCGAATGAATATGTTTTGAATATTTTAATATAGATTTATTCAGTGAATATAGACCTATTAATATATATATATATACATATATTATTTGTGAGATAACCAAATAAGAAATTTTATCACTTATTTATAAATAAATTAATATCACAAATTTAATATAATCTTTTGCGACGAAATTAATTTTATTTATTCGTTTGTCAATTTAATATCTAATTTATTTTATATTGATTACGAAAATTAATAATTGGGAGAGTTTAACTAAATTTTATAAATATATACATATTAAATTTTCCAATTGAAAACTAATTTCACAATATTGTACTTAAATAAATAGATCAGTTTCATTGCAAATTATTTAGTTCACAGTTTATAATTGTTGTTAAATATTACTTTGTTTTATAATTTATACGGTTATATAATTTGTAAATTTTAAGATGAAGTAAAAGTAGCCTAATCAGAAGTAACAGTTTTAAAATACTGTAAAATTTTAATTGCATTTCAGTTTTCTAATTTACACAGTACAGTCGGTTCCAAAGGGATCCGACTGTACATTAGAAAACTTACCCCGTTTTAAAATTATAATAAAGGCACAGTTTTACAAGTATTGTCTAATGAACCATTTGCAAAATTGTTTAAAATTTATTAAATTAAAATGTCCGATGCACATTTAGGTTAGTTTACTAATTACGTAGCCTTTTATGTTATAAAAGTATGCTAAATTAAATAGAATTTTCTTTTTGTAAATAACATATCTTGAAAATCAACTGATTATCTAAAAATTTACAGCATCTAAAAGGTTACACTGCAAAAAATTACTATAAAATTTGAAAGTTAAGTAAATATATTGTACTGTAGAAACGTACTGCAATTTATAACATTTTAATATTTAAAATTTAAAAATCATCATTAAAAATAGTATAAAAATTATCAATGCACATTCTCCAACTAAATTATTGATTATAGATTTTTGTTTTGATTATATATTATTTTATTATTAAATAATTCAAAATATATTATAATTTTATATGAATTAATTAAACATTTACCAAATGAAATCGATTTTAATCAGATAATTTATAAAAATTTTCGTTAATTGCGAAAGATTTCATCTGTGTACATTAACTTTAATAACAAAACGTTAATATTGTTTAATATGATTTCATTTTTAATGAAATTAACATTATCATTTCGATTATCTTTCAATATTTTTAGCAATTTAACTATGTTATAATTAAAATTCTTAATTAATAGTGACTCAAAAATTAGTTAACCATTGTAATGACTAAATTTGTCTTATTCAAATACTTGAACAGAAAGAAAAACGCATTGTTATAAACTTAGTTTATATTCCATATTCACAAACATACAAAAACAAAATATGGTATGGATAACTGACTTTTGGGACCACCCTGTATAATTTGAAATTCTGTAATATGTTAATATTTAATTTGTTTCTTGGTTTCTTCCTTAACAAATAAATAAAATAATTTACCCTATAAATATACTTAAACATGTGCGTAAGAATGTGTAAAGAACTTTAGGAATTTGTCAAATTCCTAAAGTTGTTTGTATATTTGAAATCTAATTGTTGTTTATTTCTTTCTTTCTCTTAAAGATAGCAAAATAATGTTAGACTTTTAAAAATTTTTATTCAAACTGTTTTATATTTGAGTGAAGATTTTATTTTCTTGTAAATTAATGAAAATTGTAATTTTAATTGTTTTAAAAATTTGAAATAATTAATGAATTGAGGAACATTGCAATTTATTTTCGACAACGTGATGATCTCCTTGCAGGATTTAAGCAATAAATTGCTCAGCAAATCAGCATAATCTCAATTTTTATTTGTTGCAAGTAATTTTTTAATTATTGAAAAAATATAATTGTGCAATTTTACTTGAATGATCATCAGATTAATATTTTTAACATTTATTTAAGAATTTAGCTGAAAGTAATAACTTGGTAGAATTTGTACGATAAATGTAGAATTAATAAGTTAGGAGAAGAATCTTTAAGGTTATTCAATGTAACTTCTTATTATCTTCGATTGAAATACTGAAACAGTATTGCATCAATTAAATTTATAAAGAATAAAATGATGCAATTAGTTAAAATGTTTAATAATACAAAATTGTTTACAAAAAAGAATAAACTTTCACTAAGTCTACGTAATAAAAACGATAAAAAAATTTT